AGAAAAAAAAAAAAAGAAAAAAGAAAACAAACGAACCTACAGTTGAAGTAAAGGTAAACCTAATTGCACCTTAAGCAAAAAAATTACAGTTCACATATGCTAACACCCATCACGTTTTAAAAAGAGAACACTATTGACTGGAGAATAGTACCTCACACATTTCATTCCCTCTTTGAAATTCCTCCATCATGACCCGTAATGTGCTTGTCGACACATTGTAGCTAGAGTTCATGCAGGGATACGCAGGAGTTATTATGGGCATCAGGTGCAACCTGTCCTTATAATTTCTCCTAGGATCCCAAAAGGAAAGTCCTAAAGATCCTTCTTGAATTGGACAGAGCATAACTGGATTAGGCCACCGCCACAAATTATACACCCTAAAAAATCGAGACACCAACATGCCAGGCAAAGCATTTGGGTACAATTGGCAGATGCGAGCAACAAGCAATGCCCAATTAATACCACCAAGGAAACCAGTAACCTGGAAAATCAAATAGCAGCTCAAGTGAAAAATGAAGTAAAACAACATCCAGATGCTCGCGTATCGAATATTGACATATGAGAGTTAATTTACGAAGGAAAAGAGGAAAAAAAAAAAAAAACACGAGTCAAAGTTTCTCACGTTTGAATAAACCCCACGTCGCTTTGCCCACAGCCTCATACATCGGAGTGTCGTTTTGAAAGTCTAAACGACAAACAGACAATATAGGTTAGAGTTTAGATATCATTAGAGAAACAATTAATTCAATGTTCTCATTGTACGATCACAGACCTCAATATTTGGGACCAGCCGCAATATTTGGTCAGTCACTCTACAACCATTGAGACTGCGAACAGTTTGATCATCCACATTTTGCAGAATCGATTCTTGAGAAATATCCAAGTCCTAAAAGCAGGCCAATAGCATGACATGAGAAAAAAATCATATAATAATCCTGAAAGAAGTTAGCGGGGATACACTCTTGAAAGACTATCCTTGCAGCTATATATAGTGAAACAGATGCACGAGTATATTGAACAATCAAAATTCATGCTTCACTACTTCAACTCAACAGTGTTCTTTTTCTTTAATATATATTCCTTATATTTCTTCGAGAGGGGCAGGTGGAATCAAGAAGAAGTTTTCCAAGGCAACAAAAATTTATTCAAAAGGAGAATAAAAAGGAGTGATGGAAGCAAAAAAGGAGACTTTACATTGAACTGGACAGAGTTTGTTTAAAAGAAGCCTAACGGCATAATGATTTTGTCATGGGAAGGCATCAATGTTAACGCAAACACGTGCACCAGATCAGATTCACCATTACATTACTTTTTAAAGCCATCAGGGTACTTCACATTTAAAAGTATTGTACCAGAATAAAAATAAATGCAAAAAATACTGAAGAACTGGTTGATACAAAGAGAAAAGGTTCATACTTCGGGAATAACCCATAGTGACACATTTGCATAAAGTAGATCTATAGAAACACCATTGAACTTGAACTTCATGACAGGAACATGAGCCTCTGGCACCGGGTGCAGTTCTTGTACTTCAGGCATCTCGGAGAGCATTCTGTAAAGTTCACCAAAGAAGTCTTCCTGTATGTGACAAATCACAAAGTTATTGCCTCCATTCAAGAAGTAAACAAAAGCAATAGAATACAAATCTAAATAGCCTACATTTCGACTGGCATGTTTTGGTCCAACACATAAGGTATCAATATCAGCACCAGGCCCATGAACCTATGATTAGAAGAAAGCAACCACAAGTCAATCCACAAAATGATGTATAGAAACCTTAGAGACAGCTAAAATATTTGTACAAGACCAAGAAAAAATTGTATCATCATACATCCTTCTTTCCAGTGAAACCATTGTATTTGAACTATTAAACTACCATGTTTCAGCCAAATAATCAAGGTCATGCACATGCAATCTAACCATCTTCATCCATTCAGAACCAGCCAAGTCAAACTCATAAGTCTAGATATTTCATGCACTTGAGGTTATAAATATGAATTCTAGTCTACAAAGTTATATGACATGTCATATGGAGAAAGTGCTTACTCTCTTTCCCTTGCTGCATACAAAGCCTATTAAGTTCAAATGAATACATAAAACACTATTTGTATCCTCCCTCAGAGGAGATTCACAATGGCTTGTACTAGGCAAACATTCACCTAACACAACATATACCAAGTCCACAAAAGCTCCGGGCGACTAATCCCTAGTCACAGAAATCTAGCTTTTGAACTTGATGACTAGGTCCCAAAAGAAAACTCAAATTACATTCACTTGTTAAATATCTTTCTTATTCGTCCCCAATCACTACAAGGTCCCTTGCCAACGAAACTTGCATGTCACAAAAACTTTACTTGAAGGCATGAGTTTTGGCCTCCTTTGGTCAGAGTAAGAAAATAATTCATATCTTCAAATTTTTGGAAATAGTTTGCAAAATTAAGAAACGTAATAGCTCCAATAAGCAAAATTAAGAAATGCAATATCTCCAATAACCACCAAGCGGTTACCACATTCAGTCTGGCTGTTCCTCTGTATACAAATGATCTTGCTCCAATAAGCACATGATTTTACAGAATATCTCTTGAAAACAAAGTACAAATGCAATTATGAATTACCAACAAAAAGTAAGTACTTCAATGTATAAAGAGATATAACGATGCAGAAGGAGAAGTTAATAGAGCAAAAAGGTTCTTACACCAAGCCGATAAGAACCAAACGTGAAAATCTTTGCGTTAGCCTCA